CCCCCTCTCCCATGTCCCCCCGGAACTGTCAGTCCCGTTGTTTTCTCCTCCAGATTGTTCATCCAGCCTGTCCTATCCAGACAGGCCTGCGGATTTTGTCTTAAAGTGTCTGATTAGAGACTCTAAATTTTTTTTTTTTTGCTGCTAGCTTGATGTATTTTTCCATCCTATGATTTTGAGTCTTACCTTTTTGCGTATCTAACTTCTGTCTTGTAAACCACATACTGAGGTGGCCTGTCCTGTTTTCTTTTCCACCGTGCGCTCTTGCAGCCAGTGCAGTGATCGATAGCGCTCAGTCGTTGCTGTCTCTTTGCTGTCTGCCTTTCTGTGGTGCCGAGTTTCTCCAGTCCGCGTATTTTTCTGTGCGGAGTTAATTTTGTTTATTACCCTTCTCCCCCACTGCTGTTGTCTCAGTGTTTACTGAATCTATGGAATTTTTCTTTGAATGAGGTCTGTTCATTTTCTGAGGTTACCCTGTAACTACTTTCTTCCTACATTTGAAATGGTCTGTTCTCTCTTCAAACCTACTTCTTTGAAAGTCCTGTTACAAATTCATGTCTCTGCTCCATCTTTTCAGTCCTGCAGAGAATGATCTTCCCTCAGCCACTTCTGTATCTGGGCTGGCGTCCGGGTGGTGGTGTCATCTAGAGTATTGTTGCAGGCTCTCTGACCAAAGGCCGTTCCGTAGTATTGCTTGTAAGGTTGGGCTGCATTACACAAATTCCTTCTATTTCTTTTTATCTGGAAATGGCCTAATTTCAGTGTTGTATTTGAAAAATGTCTGCCGGGTTTATGATTCTTGGTTGGCAATTTTTCTTTGAGTGGTTTGAGTGTCACCCATTGCCACCTAGTCTGCATGCTTTCTGCTCTCAGCCCTTGTTCCTAGTCTCTGGTTTTGACAAAGGCTAGCCTTGAACGCAGAGCTTGCCGTACGTGCTGTTAGGAAGGCTTTCTCCCGACAACTCCCTGTGCCTTTTGTTTCCCTTCTTCCTCTGGAATCCGGCTCACACGGGTGCTCTTCATGGTGTCTCATAAGCCTCCTTCAGGTGTTGTTTTTGTCTTTTGCACTTTCAGTGAGCATCCATTTCTGAAATCTTAGTATTAGCCTCTTACATACCTACTTGCGGTTTTTGTTTGATGTGAATTTCTCATGTCAGGCTGTTCTTGGGTCGTTTCCTGAGTCGCTCTTGTGCAGCCCCGGCCTCCTCGGCATTCTTCTTCTTGGTGGCGTTCTTGATCTCTCAGCCCAGTGAAGCCGCTCTTGTGAGTCCCTATCTGGTAGGCCCAACGCGGCTTCTTCCTGAGGCTGGTCTTCAGGCTTCGTAGTGGTCGCGTGCTTCACTCTCTTTATGAAGTTGTCTGTTAAGTCTCGCAGACTCTTGTTTTTATTGTATCAACGGGTGATTTTATGTCGGTGAGACCCCATCACTGTCTCCCAGTGGGTGCAAGAGGTGCTGTGAGTGCGCGCGACTGTTCCATTTACTAGTTGTGTCTCAGTGGAGGGCAGTTCTTTTGGTGTTTTTTGGCTATCAGGTGAGATAAGATGGCTGTAGAAGGCAGGGAAGATTTGGCTGGGATATGTGGGCATGGTGGCTGTCTCCTGTCAGGTGTGACCAGAAAAAAACAGCAGAAATAAAAAATGACCAAAAAAGAAACGATTTAAAATATTTTATGAAATTTTAAAAGCAGCAGGAAAAAGCAGGTATGTAACAGCAAGAGAAAAGAATTTAATAACTAAGGGGGGAAAAAAGCCCAAAGAAAAGTAAAAAAAGGTTGAAGAAAAGAAGAGAAATACAATAAGCAAAACTGGAACGGGGAACAGTGGTAGTAAAGGGAAGAAAAAGGCAGGGGCATACAGGGAAACGGAAGAACCAGGAAAGCGGAAGAGAACGATTTTCAAAAACAAGGGAAGGGAAAGGAAAAGAAAAAACCAAACTGGAGGCGGGGCTAAGCAGCTCACAGGGTGGGGAGGGTGGGACTGCTGGCCCAGGTGCTTTCTGGGCTCAGGCACCTGACCTAGGCGTAGTCAGATGGTGGCTGAGGTCAGGGTGCTTGCTCCTGGAAGGAATTACTTTGGGCCCGGAGGGCAATGGGGGCAGGGCGGCTGGTTAGAGGAGGAGTTCCTGCTGACTGGGTGGCTTGGGAGGGGACCCATTAAGGCACGCCCTTGCTGGTCTGATGCAGGGAATTCAGGTGCCTCCAGACATGGGGTGGTGCAGGTGGCACCCTCATGGATCGTGCCTGTTCTGGCTTCATGCAGCAAGGACTGCATTCGGGGGTGTCACCAGTAGCTGTGCGAGGTGGGGGCTGGGGAACAGGACAGAATCCCATCTTTCTCCTGTTTAGTGGCTGGTGTGCCTGGCTCCTTGCCAAAGTTCAAGATGGCCACACCACGTCAGACCGCCGCTTCACCTGTCTCCTTTCTGACTACTTCTGTTCCTGTTCAGTCAGCATTTGCTCACCTTTCCTTGGCACCTGTGCCCTGAGGTCTCTGCATCCTTGTTGCCCAGGGCCTCCGTAGTAAGTCCCCTAGTTCATTCACCTTGTCGTAAGTCCCCTTTACTTGGCTTTTACCATCATGGGATTGTCACAACCAGAGAGAATCACAAAGTTCATTGAAAAATGACAGGTTTATTTTTCAGGAAAATTTTGAAGCCCCCTCACTTTTGCCCGTTGAGTGACAGTTCTCTCAGCATGGTGACCTCCAGCTGGATGCAGGCTATGAGGGCCATTCTAGAACGAAGTGCGTGCTCTGTTAAGGGGAGTGCTGTGGTGGGTGCGGTGGGTACACATCCCTTGGGGGGTGCTGAGCAGCAGGATTCTCTGCTGGGCCAGGGGCCAGCTCTAGTGCCGGCGCCAAAGGAAGCACTTGTGGTTTTCCAGTGGTTGCTGCATGTGTATTCACCGCTGGCTCTGAGGGGGTCTTTCACTCTGTGCCCGCAGTGGACACCCGGAAGAGGTGGCCGAGTTGACAGTCATTGCTGCCCCACCCTTGATGATGCAGAGGGAAGCTGCTCGCATTGAGAGATCATAAAGGTCGATTTTCATTGAAAAACAAGAAACAGACTTTAAAAGGTGTTATACCGTAATCACATTTCTGTGATGTGGGAAATACAGCTCAGAAAACCCTTTGGGACGTGATCCAGAGCATATAAACTAGGGCCAGGGCCCAGCTTTGCAGGGATTGACAGAATCGACAGCGTTCCCTGTGCAGACACCCCCGAGGCCTGAGGGCTTGGCAGCAGGAGTCTAATTCCTGTATGCATCCTAACCAAGACCCTTACTGGTCTGAGCAGTAGAGAGGGCCCTGGGGTCCAGCAAGGACTCAGGTTCAGGAGGGGTGTGGAGAGATTCCTGGGTGAAAGGGGTCCCTCAGCTGGATCAGCATCTGCAGGGAGGCCATGAGTCCAGGCTGCCTGCACTGTAGCTTTTCAGGAAGACCAGGCAGCTGCCATTGTGTGGGCATGGCCTTCCTGCTGGCTGGCGGAGACCCTCAGATGCAGGTGCTCTTGGGCTGTGTCTGGACAGAAAGGCCCTGTGGTTGGGGCTGGAGTTCTGCTGTGGGAACCTCACACGCACCAAGAGTATTTTAATTAATTTATTTATTTCTTTACACATAACTGAAAGTGATGTTACAGTACATAAGTTATTTACAACTGTGCAGTAATGTGTTGCAAAATAAATTATCTAGAAGGCAGCAAAAGTACATTGTGAATGTGTATAAAACTGTACAGCGTTTACGGGATACACTTTTTATATGATTATTGGCTCTGTAGTGTTTCAAGTTATGTTCTCAGAAAGAGAAACAAAATGCCCAAGATTAAAGGAAAAAATATACAAACCACGTGGATTTGACTCCATTAAAAACACAATCGGAAGAGTCCTGGCTCTGTGTCCGCCCCCAGTGCCCAGCAGGTGGGCGGCCGGCACGCACTCAGTCCAGTGTCCTTGCCCGCCCGCCTGCCTCCCGGTCCAGGCCGGTGTCTGTGAGAGGCGGCAGGCACCTAGGTCTGTCCTGGAGTTGATCAGAATGGAACAAGGCTCTAAAAACACACGCATTCTTCCCACGACTGTGGCCACGACTGGAGCTGGCCAGGAATAGGATCCAAGCGTGGGCCTCATGGGGACGAGGTGTCCACGTCCCACCCGCCCCTGGCGTCCGTCTGGCGTCCTTCAGTGGCGGTGGCTGGGTGGCGTGGGCACAGCAGCCTCCCCTAGGCTCCTCCGCCCGGCGCGCTGTGCCTGCTGCTTGCGCCCGAAGTGTGTCCTGGCGTCGCGTTGCCGTGTCACGCTGGCAGCAGCAGGAAGTCGTCATTGACGTCGACCATGGGTACGTAAAAGGAGGGCACTTCGTTCACACACAGTGACTTGTGCCCCGCAGGGTCCAGCTCCTGCACTTTGAGCTGCCACTCCATCCTCTGTACAGCGTTGAGCGCGGCTGCTTCGTGCTGCTGCCTCATTAGGAGGCATGTCTGTGGACAGACGGACAGATGGACTGTGAGAGAGACTTGGCCTTGGGGAGAGCACATGCCTCCACCCCCAGGGAACTCGCTATCCTTGGTTTCCTTCAGGTGAGGTTGATCTCACTTAGGGCAGCAGTGACACTGGTTTTATTGGCACTGATAGTGGGAATGACATCTCTTAAAAGGGAAATTTGGTGGTACAGGGGGTGAAATGTGAGACTGCTAAGAGCAAGGCTGGTGGTTCAAGCCCTCCAGCGGCCCTACAACAAAGAGGAGGTGGTCTGGCATCGAAGCTGAAGTCTACGTGGAGCTTGGGAAGCCAGCCCTTGAGTCTGACAGGACTGGCAGCAGCCTGCCCGGTCTCCTGAGAACTGGGGGCCAACGCCACAAGGTTTCAGGTCGAAGTGAACCTCGGACGTAAGACTGAAGTCAAGGGGAACCTTGGGCAGCTCTCAGGGGACCCTTGATGAGAAGGAGCTGAGAGCCAAACTAAATAAATGATGGTCTCTCCACCCAAGCTGCGGACAATTTACCCCTAACGTCGGAGCACTGCGAGCCTGGTGCAACCAGCAAGGACACACCCGGTGGCTCCCACGGCAGCCACCCTACCTGTGTCTTCCATGGGGAGCCCAAAGGCAATGTTGGCTGTGCTCTTCCTGGTCTCATGGGCCCCACTGCATGGCAGGGACACCTGCCTCACGGGACGCTTGTCACCTAGCCCAATGTTTAGCATGAGATGTGACACACACACCCCCCCCCCCATTGTCACCAGCTCTTGCTCAGCCAAGGACAAATGGCTCTGCATTTTTAAACGGTTGTAAGAATGATGTCATGACCTGTGAAGAGGACCTGCGATTCCAATCTTGGTGCCCATGGAGGGAACTTGGCAGACCACCCCCTGGGCTGTGCCAGTCGAGACTCGGTGTAAGGCTGGGCTGGACAGAGCTGCCAGGACCCCCCAGCACGTGCGTGTGCCTTTAAGGAAGGTTGGAAATGTTTCACTAAAGGGTACACTGACGGAGGCGGGCCGTTCTAGGCTTTGTGGTGTCACTGACGTCAAAGTGGTTGATTTGTGCTGTGGCGTCTGCATGACCACCAGGCCTGTAGTGGGTTTGGACCACCACTTTACAGAAGCTCTGTGTCCGTGTCTTGGACACATGCCCACACTATTGAGCAAGAAGCCACTGCAGAAGGGCACACACCCACCTGGGGTGATGCCCTCCCTCTTGGGTCCCCCTGTGGGCTGGTTATGACATGATGGGTAGCTGATGGGTACCACTCACTGGGTAGCTGAAAGGAATTTTTTTCGGGGTGGTGGTGGTGGTGGACAGTTACTCTGCAGTCGGCAGATTTTAAATGAGTAGAAGTGAAATTTCCAGGTAGAGCATGAAAGCATTTTCAGGCAGAGAATGACCAAGACTGACTTGGAAGAAGCACAGCGAGAATGCTCCTGAGAGGCACCATGTGGACGTGCTGTCAGGTGGACCAGCCCCAGAGAAGGGCGTGGACTGGCAGTGTGCTTCGCTGAGTCACAATTAACACAGGAGTCACCTGGCCCTTCTGCACCCTCAGCACCCCACTCTCTGGCACCCTCATACAGACCGCTGTGGGGGAGCTCTGTCTGGAAGGTATGGCATCTTTAGTTTGTGTCCTCACGAACCGTCTCTTTAGACTTGGCTAACTGCACACTAAAGAGATGACCTTGTCCAGTGTCATCAAACTTTGTAGACGTTACACCACTTAGAGAAACCTGCAGTTAGCGCTACCATGGCTTAGTGTTTGGTCACCTGCTGTCAGGAGGGACAGTCCGTGGCCCAGGCTGGAACACACGCTGCCTCTGTTTGCGTCTACACGATGCTTGCCTGCTTCCGTGTAGTTTTGTAGTGGACACACGCAAGCCAAGGGCCATGAGGGAGACACCTCCGAGCCATGCCCACAGGGTACCACCTTCTGTTTCTCTCCACTGGGGATGAGACCAGAGGGCCCTGGAGGTCTGTGTCGGAGCCTGCTGCTGCTTACCTGCAGGGTGACTGCCCAGCCTGCTGAGTGGTGCCTGGAGCTGCATCCCACCTGCTGGGGCAGAAGCACCAGCACTGGGCATGCCTCCTGCACAGCAGACAACCTGCCTCAGGACGCCAGGACACTGACCTTCATGCGGTCGTACTTGTCGTCCACGTCCTGCAGCCAGGAGATGAACTGGCGTGCATTAAACCGATCCCTCACTGACTTGTTCTCGTCTCCCTGCAAAAAATCAGACACCAGTGTTTATGGGAAGGGGACTGGTGGCCCTGGCGACCGGGTCCGTAGGCCTCCCTGCTGTTCCCGGGAAGAGGGCACCCACTTCATCTGGAACCTAGGTGCCCTCCCCTGTTGGGGTGTGGTGTGTAACCAGGGAGGCCAGCACCAGACGCTCGGGCACCACCTGCTGGTGTGCATTCGACTCCTGGGGTGGCCATGCCCACCTTTCTTTTCCTCAAAGACACTTGAGTGGCTGAGAGAGAACCTGCGCCTCCTCCGCCTCCTCCTCCTCCTCCTCCTCCCCCCCTCTCCTCTCCAGCTGCCCTACAGCTAGCAGGTTGGGAGGGACTCACCTGGCTCTCCAGGGGCATGTTGTAGACCTCCGAGTCCAGAAGCATGGTGCAGGCGCTGAAGGGCACGGCCTGGTTCGCGATGGTTCTCGCCGCCCGGCAGTGCACCCTCAGGATCTCCTGTTCACAGGAGACGATCAGCTTTTCCTGGAGCGGGGAGGGAGGGAGGGAGGAGTGAGGGTAAGCCCAGGCACCGTGTGGCCCAGTGTGCTGAGGGCCCCGGGCACCTTACCCGCTCAATGCTGTGCTGCAGACGCAGCTTCCCGCGCACAGCCTCTTGCTGCTTGAAGAGCTCCTTGAGCGGCTCAGCCAGGGACGGAGGCGGTGCGATCTGCAGGCAGGAGGGGGTGTCGGCTGCAGGGCAGCAGCAGGTGGCCCCCACCCACGTCACGTGCGGGGCATTGCCACGCCCGGTGTAGGCATCGGCAGGGCCCCGCCCGTGTCTGTGCTTGTGCGGAGGCAGCACACAGAGGGTGCTGGTCCTCAGAGAAAGCCCTTGCTCTGCTGATGCTGGCGCCTGCTCTGAGGACGGGCACAGCCCTGTGGTGAGTGTGTGCTCAGCCTCAGAGGACCGGGCGGGGAGGCAGGAGTGCGGGCAGGTGGGGCTGGGGAGCCCCACGCCTGGCCCTGCAGACTCACCACTGGGATGTGGAGCTTGCTGAGCGGCTTGCCGTCCAGGAGGTAGGAACCGGTGTAGGTGACGTATTCGGCGTAGCATTGGGGCGCCTGCGGTGTGATGTAGCACAGGATCTTGCGCTTCTCCTCGATCTTCTTGCGGATCTGCAGGTACTCAAAGTAGGGGTTGGCCCTGTCACTATGGTAGGGCTCGATGGCGTCCAGCTTGATGGCATCCACGATGGCGGCCAGCGTCTGCTGGATCATTTCCCGCGTCTGCTGCGTCGACGTGTTCATCTGCTGCTGCAGCTGCTGGCTGGAGCGCTGGAAACGGCGCTTGCGAGGGTGCTGGGCTTGGGCATCCTCGTCCTCGGGGCCACGGCCCTTGGCTCTGGGGGTAGGGGTGGCAGCAGGCAGCTCCCTCTCAGGGGGCGGCGTGCCCTGCTTGCCCTGGCTGGCCAGCATCTGGGCCCGGTTCCGAGTAATGCGCTGTGGGATCTCCTCCGTGCGGGGTGGCTTTGGGGTGGGGTCTGCTGATTCAGGCTGGATGCTGCCCACAGGGGCTTCCACCTGGGCTGCGGGGAGGGTAGCTCCATCCACGGGGAGGGCTTGGGCCGTGCCGTCTGCTGGGGGGCTGTCAGGGACGGAGTAGGGTACCACCTGGGCTTCCATGGCCTCTGTCTCGTCCCCGCTCCCTGCTGGGTGGGGCTCCGTGGGGACTGCTGCAGGTGCTGGGCTGGGGCCCGTGTCCTCAGGGACTGGCTCTTCTGCCATGTCCACCACCTGGGCCGCAGTTTCAAGAGGCACCTCCACCTGGGGCTCGGCAGCAGGGGCAGGCTCGGCAGCAGGGAGCTGTGTGGACGCTGTGTTGGAGGGTGGCCGTTGTTCCTCCTCAGAGGCTGATGTGGAGAGGTCACCCCCGCTTTCAACCTCGGGGGGCCCGAGAGGTGTCTGCTCTGGGGGGGGCAGCGGACGCTCGTCTGCAGGTCCTGTGTCCATGTCGGAAGTGTCTTTTGTCTGCAGAGGGAGCTCGGGCAGGGAGAAGGGCCCCAGGTCCAGGTCATCTTCGGGATTTGGGAAGGGGTCTGGCCACGGTCCAGGCTCCTCTGGACCGAGCACAGAAGGGCCGCTGCTGCTTCCCTCCAGGTAATTGTGGTCCAGTGGCCCCAGAGCCTCTGCCTGAGCTACAGGGGCCACACTCGCAGGTTCGGGGGGCATGTCGGGAGCAGTGTCCATGAGGGGCTTGCAGTTGCTGAAGAAGGCTGGAAGCCCAGAGGGAGGAGCATATGGGGTTAGCTCCTCGGAAGGGGTGACTCCCATCGCTTCGACTATCTCCTGCTTGACATCTCCGAGCCCTGGCTCAGGGACTGACAAGGGGTAGGGAAGGGGAGAGGCTGGGTATGGGGGCTCTGTGGCAATGAATGGCACAGGGGCAGCAGGGTGCAGGGGCTCTGCGGGGCTGAAATGTGTGGGAGACTCAGCTAGTCGCTGTGGGGACTTCAGCAGCAGGTCTGCCCCCACAGGGGGCCAGCTAACGGTGTTCTCGGGGACCCCACCAAGGGTGGAGGAGAGGGGTTGCTCAGAGGTGGCGGGGTGCACCCACTCGCCTGGGTCCTCGGTGATGACTGTGTTGAAGGGGCCCTCATCAGCAGGCTCCAGGTAGCTGGGCTCTGGGGGGATGATGGCAGCTGTGGCCTGCTGGTCTTCTGTGGCATCAAGAGGGAGGCCCAGGTCAGGGGGCAGGGCCCCTTCCAGGGAGGGGGCCACGAGCTCATCCCTGTGGGAAGGGGAGGACTTGGCATGTAAACTTGAGAAGACTCCCTCTGAGGCCGTGGTGGTGTTGACGGCGGGGGGAGCACAGGGCAGAGCCTCCCCTTTGGGTGAGGGGACCCCGTAGTTGGGAGAGTAGTACCCCGGGGATGAGCATGGGAACTTCTCCAGGGCAGCGGGGACCTTGTCTTCCAGTAGTTGTCGGGCCGGTGAGTCGTAGCTGGTGGTGCCAGGGACACTCTGCTGCCGAGAGAGCTTGTCCCCAACACTGAACTCCTCCTCAGGCGTCCTGCGTGTGTCCACAGACACGGAGCGGTAGAGGCTGGTGGGCAGAGTCCGAGTGGGGGTCTGACTGGGGTTCTCGGGAAGGCCGCTCAGGGCAGCTGAGAACCTATCAAAGAAGGACGGGGAGCAGGCGCTGGCGGGTGTGCTGACAGGCACTGCATGCTGGGAATCAGCGCAGTCGAAGATGAGGTCCGAGTAGTCATCGGCGCTGCAGGACGGTGTGCGGGGAGTGTGCATCACCTCCTCATAGCTGGGGCACGAGACCACTGCAGTGGGGGTGGGCACCCCAGTAGGCCGGTTCTGGTCAGGCCTGGGCGAGGCAGGTAGGACCTCCTTCATCTGGGGCCCTGCCAGCCAGTCCTTGGGCTCTGAGCCTGTCACTGGGGGCCCTTTGCTGTCGGCATTGGGTGGAGCCGGGGCCAGCGGCATGGGCTCCTTGAGCTTCTTGTCTCTCAGCTGCACGTCCAGCCCCAGTGGCTTTTTCGTGGGGGGCTCCAGGCCCTTTTTGCGCACATCCTCGGCCAATTTGGTCTTGTCCTTGAGCTTCGGGTCTCCAGACCGGTGCCTCATCTTCTCCATCTGCTTCATCCGCTCCTTGTGCCTCTTGTGGCGCTCCTCGATCTCCAGGTCTTTCTGGGAGAGCATCCTCTCGAAGCTCGTCATCATCAGGTCGCCGTCCACCAGCAGCTTCTCCCGGGGCCGGTGCTCCTTGCGGCCGGGGTCCCTGGGTGGCGGCAGCTTCTCATTCCCATTGCTGATCTTGTTGGTGGTGTCACCCTTCTCCTGACTCTCCCTGGACCTGTCTTTCGGCTTGGCGTCGCCAAGTCTGAGGGCTTCCTCTTTGGACTTGTCTCTCAGGTTAGCACTGGGGGGGTTGTCCCTGTCTCTGGCCCCGGGCTTCGGCTCATCCTTGTGGTGCCGCAGGGGGCCATCCAGGTGCCGCTCCCGGTGCTTCTCCTTCTCGTCCCTCCACCGCTCCCGGTGCTTCTCGCGCTTCTTCTTCTCCTTCAGGATGTTGACGGCGCTGGACCCGTAAGGCTTCAGCTCTTTTTCTATTTTCTTGGAAGGTTCTCTTTCAGAATCATTTTTGTCTTTCTTTTCGGTGGAAAAGAGTTCGATGGTTTTCTCGAACTCCTCTTCCATGTCGGGTTTCGTGTTGTAAGGGATGCTGTACGCGTCCCCGTCTGGGAAGTCCTTGTCATACTGGCCGGAGTCCTTCCTGCCCGCGTCTCTGTAGTCCTCGCTCCGGTCTTTCTTCTCGGTCTTCTCTTTCCTCCCTCTCTCCCGGTCGTGGCTCTTCTTCGAGGAGGACGAGGTGTGCCTGTGCCTCTCTCTGAGCTTCTCTTGCAGGCAGGAGGAGCCGTCCCTGGCCTTCTCTTCGGGGGGCTCTGTGAAGGACACCTCTAGCAGGGCAGTCTGCCCAGGCTCCTGCCCTCGGTCGGTGAAGCTGTCGGAAGATATCTCACTGATCTTATCGTTGGAGTCTTCTCTGAATTCGTGGAGAGCTTCTTCTTCTAACTTTTCCAATAAACTCTTTTCCATCTCGGCGCTTTTGGAAGACTTCCTCTCTTTGGAATGATCCTTGTCAGCTTTCTCTTTGTGCCGGCTTTTCACCTTATCCTCCACGGAGTGTTTCTTCTCCACCTTCTCGGGGAGTTTTTGTTTGCTTTTCTTTTCTTGAATCGAGTCAACTGAAGTTCGGTCCTTCCGGTCCTTGTACTTTTCTGTGGACTCTCTCTCTCTCTTGTCTTTGTGCTTGTCAGAGCTCTTCTCTCTTCTCTCTTTGCCCCCTTCAGCGGAGCCTTTGTCTTTTTTCTTATCCTTGGATTCTTTATCTTTCTGCTTCTCTGAGTGCTGCTTCTCCAAGGAGTACTTCCGGTGCTTGTCCAAAGCAGAGGGCTCTTTCCCTTCCTCCCGGTCCTGCAAGCTTTCCGCCCTCGGCCCCTCGGGGCCCTCCCCGAGCTTGAACCCACTGGTGGCATACTCGTCCTGGTCGTCTTCGCTCTCATCCGTGAAGATGTCTGCAATGTACCAGCTTTTCTCCTTCCCCCTTTTTTCCTCTTTCTTCTCAGAGAAGTCTTCCGAGAGGATTCCAGGATAATTTTTCTCCTTCTTATCTTTCACCTGATCAAGAGAAGGCTTCCGTTCTTTATCTTTGCTATGTATGCAATCTTTATGCTTTTCCTTGGCTTCCTTTTTCTCCTTAAAACATTTATCAAATTCTTTGTCCTTCTGACTCTTTTCAAGGAGAGCTTTCTCATTCTTGTCCTTGTCACTAGACTTTTCCTTGTATTTCTCGGATTTTATCTTCTCTTTCTTTTCCTTCTCGATGCCATCCTTCTTCTCTTTTTCTTTTACCGAATGGTGCCTTTCCCAAGACTCCAGGCTTTTCACAAAGTCCGCGTCAGACTTGTCTTTGAAGAAACTGTCGCAGCCGAACTCTTTGAGCTCCTCTCTGTAGGCCTCGTCGGCCTTCCCTCTGGCCTCCTTCCTTTCCTTGGTGCTCTCGAAAGAGTCCTTTCTGTCCCTGCACGTGTCACTCAGGTCCTTGTCCTTTCGGTCCTTGGCTCCGTCCACAGACTCTTTCCTCCTCTTGTCTTTCTCGGACAGGTAGCTGGGGACACCTCTGTGCTTCTCGGTCGGGTCTTTCCTCTTCTCGGCGGTCTTATCCAGGTAGTCCCGGTCTTTCTTCCTGAAGAAGGCGTCTCGGTCGCTGCGCCGCTCGCTGTGCTCTCTCTTTTCGCGGCCCTTGCTGTCCCGCCGCTTCTCCTTGGAGTCCTCCCGCACAGTCTCCAGGAGGAGCTTTGCCACGGAGTCACTTTTCATCTCTCGGTAGTCGGGCACCGGAGAGTCCCAGCTGTCCTCCCCTTTGAAGTCAAAGGAGGAGTCCGACAGGTCGGAGAACCAGCGCTCCTGCGGGTCGTCTGAGAGGCTGAACTTGGTGTCCTCGTTCTCCAGAAACTGGCTCTTGTTACAGTACTCATCGAAAGCAGAGTCCTCCCTGTACACCTTCTCTTTTTTGAGTTTGTCTTCTTTGAAAGTCTTTTCCTTCTCTCTCGACGTCTTGTCCTCCTTCAAGTCGTTCTTCCTCTCTAGTCTGGAGGGCCGGTCTTTGGACTTCTTCTTCCTCTCCTCCTTGTAGAGCCGCAGCTTCTCCTCCTTTGGGGACTTCTCTTTCGGCAGCTTCTCTTTGTCCGCCTTGTTCGAGCGGTCTTTCTCTTCTCGGAAACACTTAGCCAGGTCTTTGCTCAGGTCTTTGATTCTCTTGAGCGATTTCTCGTCTTTGGAGACCTTTATGAGCTCATCTTTAAATAGCCACTCTTTGTCCTCCGCCTTCAGTTTGCTGAGCTTCTCTTCCTTCTTGAGATGGTCTCGGTCATGCTTTAACGCCTTCAGCTTGTTCTCGGGGGGCATGTCATTGTCCAGGAGGATGGCCTTATCCGGCTTCTGCTTGGAGTCGTCATACTCATAAGTAAAGCTCTTCAGTTTCAGCTCCTGGCTGACAGAACACTGTCCTTTTTCCTTGTTTTTGTGTTTATGTTTCGTTTTGTGTTTTTTGATGATCTTTCCCTCTTTGTCCAGTTTTGGGATGGCGCCTTCTACGCTCGCGTGGAACGCGCCCCTCCTCTCAGAGAGCACGCCCTGCAGGCCGCCCTTCCTGTGCTCCCGCTTCTTCCTGATGGGCTTCAGGGACTCAAGGCTGGAGGCCTCGGAGGAGCAATCAGACTCACTTGTCAGCCGTGTCCGCGTGGAGTCTGACAGGGAGCTGACCTCGGACCAGGCGGGAGAGGAGATGGTCTTCCAATTGTCCGTCCTCCAGTGCTTGGAGTGCTGGTCAGCGTGGTTGGGGTTATGCTTCTGGGAGGCAGTGCTCCCGTGGGAGGAGGTGGATGAGGCAGAGAGCGAGCTGAACAGGGAGGGTTCCTTCAGCACCAGTGGCGACCCCTTGGTACAGCCAGAGCTTCCAACCGAGCCGTCGTCCTCCTCACTCCCCAGAGGCTCGCTCTCAGATTCAGACGAGCAGAACTTGTCACTCCTTTTTCCAAACCGAACTTCTTTGCCTTTTGTTTCTTTCTTCCGCTTCTTTTTCACTTTCGTTTTTTCTTTTTGTTGCTTGGAACTAGAAGACTCACGTTTGTTACTGGGCAGCATGGTGTGTGCGGACAGTCTCAGTTTTTCTCCTGTCCCCATGGTGACACTTGCCTCCTCTTCGTCCGATGTGTCTGACAAGATGCGATGTGCGGCTTTCTTTGGTGCAATTGTGCTGTTTTTAGTGTAACTTTTCACTTCCATTTTGGGTATAGAAATAAAACTGTTGGCCTTAGTCTCTTTTCTGTAATCCTTTTTTAACAAGTGCTTATCGTCCAGGGGAGGGACCCTGTCTTGTTCGTCATCCTCATCAAACTCGTACTCATCCTTGACAGGAGTCACGGTTTTGGGGGGCTCTGGGTTCTTGGCCTTGTGCTTCAGGCCCTTTTCAAATTCAGAGTCTGTGTTATTGCCATCCACTGAGCTGGACGGTGCGAATGAGGGCGCATCCTCCTCTTCTGAGCTCTCTGCTAAAAAGACGGGGAGAGGGGTCAGAGGGCAGTCTCAGAACGACCGTCCTGCTCTGGTACTCACCGTCCATGGGGGAAGCAGGTGAGACCAGCCTGCCCCTGGGCCCAGCCCCTGGAGAAGCACTGGAATGGTGGGGGCCACAGGCAGGAGCCCCTCGGGAGCAGTGCAGGGAGCTTGCCTGATGTGTAGACGGTACCTCCCCCCCCAACCCCTACCCCTACCCCGCTCACCGGTGGAGCTCTCTTCACTGGACGTGTACGTGCCCTTGCCCAGCAGGAGGTTCACCATGGTTGGGGAATTGGCGACTTTCAGCGGAGTCTCGCCTTTCCTGTTGCTCTGCTGAGGGTTCCCGCCATACCGCAGCAACAGCTTCACTACCTGCAAGAGGGGGCGGGAGGCAGCCTCATCAGGGAGAGAGAACCTGCTGTGTGTAGCAGTCAGGCTGCTGCTTCTAGACCCTGGGGACATAGTCCTATTTCTGGAAGCCCCTGCCCCCGTCATTTTGCTGCCTCCCAGGGTGGGGTTTCTGCACTGGCTCTCATTCATGTGGCACCAGTGTGCCTGAGGAGCCTGCCACTGGCATGGAGGAGGCCAAAAGTCGAGTGTTCCCACATACACTGTATCTTTGTTCACAGAGGAAAGCAACCTTTTCACGTGGGTGAAGGGGGTCCTGGGTCACACTGCTGTGGTCAGTGCAGGGCTGCCATCGCGGATGACGTGGGCTTGGCCCCACACAGACCTGGATTTGCCAGCAGAGCTGCACATGCTTGAGTAATGCCTCAGGTGGGTGTTTCCTGAGAGGCCTGGAAAGGCAACTGTGTGTGTTTCTTGATCTCATTGCCCTGACCTAGCTGGGAGACTGTGTTCACTCCTAGGACGACCCTGTGACTACGCAGCCCAGCCCCTCACATGTTGGCCATGTATCCACAATTTTGGATGCTTTCCATAACAGAAAATGATAACCCTCTCTCTGGGCACTGTCACCCAGCAGCCTCACTTCACTGAATCCCTGTGTACTACTCCCCATATCATGCATGAATATGTCTCTTTTAAAAGGTCCCTTAAAGACTACACTGCCATCTTGGTTCAGTTGGTCTGAATCAAGACTGCAGAGCCTCAAGGTTGCCCCTTGTGTGGGGGTCTCCCTGGACCCCAAGCCCACCTCTCACTTTTTCTCTGGTTGGCTCCAGACAGTGTGTGGTGAGCGGCAAGTACCTGTCCAGGGTGGCCTGGCTGTGAGGTCCGAGACCTTGGCCCTCACCACGCTGTCCAGGTCCCAGATGTGTCGGGTACATCACCTGACAGGGCCCCTCTCTTGGCCGGGAGCTTCGGGTGCTCTAGGGAGAGACCCTACCTTGTAGTGCCCGTTGTTGGCAGCATCGTGCAGGGGCGTGTCATCATCCAGGCCCTTGGTGTTCACCTCGGCACCAGCTGCTAGCAGTTGCTTTGCAACGTCGTAGTAGCCACGGTTACAGGCCTCATGCAGGGCTGTCCAGCCTGGAAACAGACACACGTGACAGACAGGCAGACCCTGGTCAGGTATCACCTGGAGCCCAGGTGAATGTCCAGGCTGCACATCTCTCAGGAATGGCATATGCCATGAAGACAGGCATACAGCTTTATGGACCTTGCAGAGGCTACAGAGAATGCAGCTAGAGTGGCCTGCTGTCAGTATCCCCAGAAGAGATGCCTAGTTTGACAGCCGTTAGACACTGAGCGTGGGTTCGCCAACAGAGGGACAGGCCTGGACTGCAGGGACTTCTCTCTGGGAGAAGAGCCGGTACCATGGCCACACTGAGTGCAGCCACAGAGCCTTGGGAACAGCGTCACAGAAGTGCGTTGCACTGGTAAGCTTAGTCCCAAGTGCTCCTCGGGCAGGGGCCAGGAGCAGGCCTCCCACTCTGACCTGGGGCGTCCATCTGAGGCAACCAGCCGGCCAGCCCCACCAGCAGCCATGTGGTGGCTGGGTGACAGTACCTGCAAAGTCCTTGACGTTGACGTCTGCGCCCTCACTGATGAGCTCTTTGATGCGCCGGGCATCCCCGCGGATGGCGGCCCGGTGCAGGCGCGTCTCCCCGCGCTCGTTCCTCTTGTTAACTTTGTCTTTGGTTTTCGAGGCAGAGTTGGGCGTCCCCTTCGGACACACTGCAGACTGCGTGGGGTGCTTTGGTGTTGTGTCTACTGCGGGCAGTGGGGACAGAGGCTTTGTCACTGCAAGGGAGCCACCAGTGGCCACCCCACAGCCCAAGCACACCTTTCTGTCCAAGCCACCTGGACAGCGTTGGGTCACCTGGACTGTTTGCAGACTCCTCCGCCGTCATCTGCATGAGGAGAGCCACCTGCTGGCGCTCAGAGAGGGGGTAGCCAGCTCGGATCCCAGACAGCCCCATGCCGAACAGCAGGCCGGCCTTGCGCGTGGCGGGCTCCTTTTTGATCCTCTTCCGCTCAGGGCCCTGCTTCTCTGTGAGGCAGCGGAGAGGAGACAGATCTCAGCTTAGTGTATGAAACACTCAGAGCTTTCACTCACCGTGACAGTGGATGGAGCACCAGTGCAGAGACCCTGTAACCACTGTCGCCTCTCTCCGCAGAAAATGACAGTTCATTTGGTTGTCAGCTGATACAGGCTGCCAAGGTGTGGCTGCCAACTACTAGCCCACTCCAGGAGTCTCCCAAGCCCCAGCCAGGCCAGGCAGCAGGAGTTGGCCCTGAGGACAGGTTCCTATCAACTAGACAGATGGGTCCAGAGCCACAGTCCACACCCTTTCCCTCCCCCCCAACCAGTGGTACAAATACAGATGGACAAACAGTGTGCAGGTGCATAAGCCAGGCCCCCCCCGCCCCCACCCCCACCCCCCGCCGTGCTGGTACTGTACCTTTCTGCTTGCTTCTAGGAGCCTCCATTTCATGCCATGGTGCTTGGAGGGGCGCACTGGCCTGGGAGTGCCGCAGCATGGACTGAACTGGAGGCGTCTAAAAGCATTAACACAGAGCACTAACGCCATGCGGAGTCCGCCCACGGCTTCCCCTGCACACTTCCCACGGACAGACCCCCCTGACATCTGGGACACCTGCTGGCAGGAGCCAGCACCCTGCACCACCCTCCCAACAGCCCCATGCACAGAGGACAGACAGCTTTGCCCCCACTCCGCCCAGGCCACTTGACAGGTCAGCTCAGACATCAGACAGGTAGTCTTAAGTGCCAGCTTCCTCCAAGTCCTACGAGAACCAGAAGCCATGCTGCCTGAGGGAGGGAGGCTGGCTGTGGTGCAGCTTTCTTCTGCAGCTCAGTTGGGCTGAGACACTACGCTCTACAAATGCTCACAAATGGCTGCCACAGATCAACAGCTCTGACCTGCCTGCAACCAGCTGCCCTCCCACACGGGGCAGGTGGACAGTCACACCCCTCTTCTTGAGAGGGACCTGGCCTTCAGAGTGACCAGCAGCAACTCATTCTAGATATTTGATGGAACAGCTGAAATGATTTCTGGGTGTTTGACCCCAAGAATCACACCACCACCACCCACCCACCGCCCGAGGCTGGCCTGCTCCTGCTCAGCCTGCTGTAGCTGAGGAGCATGCCTCCATGTGTCCCTGCAACCATAGAAAACCAGGGCTGGGCATTGACACCAACTCTTTGCGGAGTAAACTCTAGGCTAGTTTGTGTAGGCAGGAGGTGGAAATGCCGTACACCACGAGTAACCAAGGAGCAGGACGACGGCCCATGACTAATAGATCAAAAGTGTCCAATGCCATCAGGGAGTGGTGCGCCCAGTCAGTCAGAGAACCAACCCCTCTGGCAATGCCTAGGTGGAACATTCTACAGAATTCTATTTAGAAAGCTCTTGGCAGAGCAGAATCCCATCACTGAGGGTCTATACTCTGCAGACCCACCAGCTCTAGCGCGAGGAAGACCATTCCATCCACTTAACCTTGGCACTGTGATCTAGGTGAAGGTGTAGAGAGCAGATAATCAGCTGTCTGTTCAACAGCTCTCTCGCACACACACGCAGTCTCCACTTACCACTAGTCTCTCGGCTATAAATTGTTCTGATCACAAATGGATTTTTTTAATTTAGTGGGGGCTCGTACAACTCTTATCACAATCCATCCATCCATTGTGTCAAGTACATTTGTTGCCCTCATCACTCTCAAAACATTTGCTTTCTACTTGAGCCCTTGGTATCAGCTCATTTTGCCCCCTCCCTCCCTCACGAGTCCTTGATACTTTGTAAATTATTATTTTGTCATGTTTTATACTGACCGATATCTCCCTTCACCCACATTTCTGTTGTCCGTCCCCCTGGGAGGCGGTGGTTACATGTAGATCATTGTGATCGGTTCCCCCTTTCTCCCCTCACCTTCCCCTTACCCTCCTGGTATTGCTACTCTCATTATTGGTCCTGAGGGGTTTCTCTGTCCTGGATTCCCTCCTGTGTTTCCAGCTCTTATCTGTGCCAGTGTACATCCTCTGGTCTAGCCGGATTTGTAAGTTAGAATTGGTATCGTGATAGTGGCGGGGGAGGCTTGCCTTTTTCTAAGGTGTGTGTTACCGCCCTGATAACTGTTGTTCTCTTTGGAGAGTTATCTATTATTTGGCTTAATATTGAGCTACAGGGGTGAGTTCATGTCCAGACTTGAAGGGTGACTTAACACCCGTAAGCCTAGACTCTATATGTCACCATATACAGTTTCCGTCAAATCTCTCTATATGTGGGCATACTTCCGTAATCTTTCAACCTACATATCTTACCCATACACCTGCTCATTATTAAAGGAATTTATATGAGTTTTACCTCTGTTGCCTTTAACCTGACTCCGAGTGGAGTGTTTCCCCCTTTTGGGCCAGACTTCCTCTTACTGCTTACTGTCTTCCTCTCAAGTTAATGTACTTGGCTTCCTCTTCATTAGAAAATTCTGTAACTACATATCCCTGTGTTTACTTTGTGGTAAACTGTTTCAGTCTGGTTGTAGATCTGTTCTGCTGTAGATACCTCTATAACTGAGTGGTGGGAACCCTTCTGGCATCATGTTGGGCTGCACTTCACAATCAGCAGTTCGAAACTACTAGCCGTATCGTGAAAGATGACGTTGTCTACTCCTGTGAGATAGGGTCATTATGGGCTGGACTATCAACTCACTGACCGTGAGTGTGACTGCACCTCACTGGGTTTCTGGGTGGTATTGTCATATGTTAGCCTTAGGTTGTTGTCCTATTATTGGTTCTCTACCCAAATACCTCCCTTTGGTATTTCTTGTAAGTTTGTGGTCTGGTTTATAATTCTTTTAAGTTTTGTTCTGGAAATGTTATAATTTCGCTGTCATCAACTTTTCTGAGTATGTAATTCTGGATTGGCCGTTTTTAAGATTTGTCACCCCATTGCATGGTCTCTGCTGAGGAATCAGAGCTAAGTCTTATTGGTGCCCTTGGAGACTAGTCTTCATTTTCCTTGAGCTGCCCTCAGGATTCTTGTTTAAGCTTTGGAAGAGTTTCATTGATAAAGCTTGTTGATTTTCTTTTGGGGAGATCTATCCGGTTAGTTGAAGTTTGTTCAGCTACTTGAATGTGCAGCTTCATAACAGTCAATAGCTCTTTGACAATTTTCTCTTCTGTTCTGGGGTGTGGGGGTGTCATTTCTTCATTTGAAATTCCATTCACACGAGTCATTCCTCTCCTTGACGGTGTCCTTAGGCTTTCTTTGCATCTATTGCTGATTGTCCTCTCCAGTCCAGGTCAGTGTTCCACTGATGCACAGTTTTATATATTTATTTCGTCCGGTTGATCCTTTTCCTCCTGTGAAAGGTCTGTGTTGGCTCTGGTTTCTTCACATGAATGGAATGTTTAAAAAAAATAACTTTATTGGGGGCTTACATCTCTTATCACAATCCACACATTCCTCTAATTAATTGTCAAGCACATATGCCGCCTTCATCATTTTCAAAGCATTCTCTTCCTACTTCAGCCTGTTATCAACTCCCCCTTTCCCCCCTCCCCTGCCCTCTCTCCCTCCCTCACGGACCCTTGATAAGTTATAGATTATTTTTCCATATCTTACATCGTCTTCCCCCCTGGGAGGGGGTTCTAGATTGATCCTTGTGATCGCGTCCCCCTTTCTCCGGACCCTTTCCTAATGTTGGCCCTGAGGGGTTTACCTATCCTGGATTCCCTGTGTTGCAGGCTCTTATCTGTAGCAGTGTGCATGCTCTGGTCTAATCGGATTTGTAAGGTAAAATTGAGGTCATGAGATTGGGGTGAAGGAAGCACCAAAAAGCTAGAGGAAAGTTGTGTGTTTCATCAGTGCTACACTGCACCCTGACTGGGTCAACTCTTCCCTATGACCCCTGTGAGGGGATGTCCAATTGTCTACAGATGGGCAGTGGGTCTCCACTCCATGCTCCCTATCCCATTCACCTTGAGTATAGTTTTATTCTGGGTCTTAGATGCCTGATAACTGATCCCATCGACACCTCATGATCACACAGGCTGGTGTGCTTCTTCCATGTAGGCTTTGTTGCTTCTGAGCTGGAAATTCTTTTTGTCTACAAGACATTGCATATTTTATGTAGTTGATGGCTGTGCATGCTGGTGTGATAAAGAATGTGAGTGTGCATGTAGTTCTTTGTTCGTGGAGCACAGTGGAAGGCAGGTCTGGCTGCTATCTATTGTCAGGTGATACAGGAGTTGACAGTGGCCCTCACCCAGTGAGTGGGGTTGCGGGAGGGGTACAGGCGTGGTTGGGCCATGTGGGCCTGGTTGCTATGGTCCATGATAGGACAAAGGGAGAAAAAGAAAATGAAAACAAGGGAAGTAAACAACTATGAGGGAAAAACTAAACTTGACTTCTCTTAAGTCAATTCCTACTCACATATAGGACAAGGTGGAACGGACTCTGGTGGGTTTCTGAGACTCTCTGCACCTTGCTTTTCTTCTGCAGAGGGCTAGTGATTTTGAATTGGTTAGCAGTAAAATGTGTAACCCAATGTGGTAGTTACGTAATCTGTTGTCAATTTGAGACTTAAGAGTGAAGGGTGGCTAATCAGGTTGCAGCTTGATGACCTCATTTGGAGGCGTTAAGAGGTGGGACACATGCTCACTCCCTAGGAGACATTACTGACAAGGAGCCTGGTGGTGCTATGTGAAGACTCCACCCCCTAGCGCTGAGATGCTTCTATCACCACTGGACCCACAAGACTTTCCACCTACTTCCTACATTCGGCGTCACTGCATGTGATTTTATAGACTGGTAACAGACATATGGGCTAATATCAGGTTTATGGGCTTGACCTGGACTGGGCTAGATGTTTTCTCAATATTTAATTGTTCTTGTACATAAAGCTCTTTCTTATACACATGAGACCCCCTGGACTTATTTCTCTAGTCTACCCGGACTAACACACCCATTATGCTACCAGGGCTCATAGAGACAAAAAAAAAAAGAGGGGAAGGAAAGACATTTGGGTTTGGGAAAAGTTTAATGGATCTGTCTTGATGAGAGGCGAAAACTGGGACCTGGATAGGTCTTAGAGTAGAAAATCGTGAGGGATGGGCACCTGATCCAGAAGTAGTTCATGCCAAGTCAGAGAGAGGTCAGCTGGGGGCAGGAAGGCTGATTATGGGAGATAGAATGTTCTTTGGTGGCAGACACCCGGTGCTGTGTGTGCTGAGGGAAGTTCATGTACCTCCAGATGTGGGAGTGATCCATGAGGGCATGGTTGGGTTGTCCACACTAGGAGGACCGCACCATTTTAGTCACCTCCACCACGGTACATTTGTGCTCTCGTCTGGATGGGATGTTAGTGTGTGGAGAAGTTCAAACTGGCTGGGTTGTCTCAGGCCAGTTGGTAACTCAGCCGACTATCTCCTCACTTGCCAGTTTGCCCAGCTGCTTCTCATCTTGAACTCATTTCTCTCTCCTTTTCTCCTTGAAGCGCAGGGGACCAGAATAGAATGCTCATCAATATCTGTTTCACCGATGGCAGGGAGTTTGGTTTGGTCTAAGAGGACCTGTGTACCCTACCTTGCTGGCAGCCCTGTTTGATGAGAAGGCAGGCTAGAGTGCACACTGGCACCACTGACCAGTGTCTGGTATGGGGTTTCCTCAGTCAACTGTGCCACTGAGGGATGCCTGCTCTGAAGAGTGGTAGAGTGTGAGTCCACAGGGAGGACTCACTAAAAACCAAGCTTACTGCCACTGAGTCAAATGCGGACTCAGCACCCCCCCC